CACATCTTACTGAGATTAGTAGATCCAAATATATTTGTCAGTACATGATACTGATGTGGATGAATGTTTTCAATACAGCACACTTTGTATTGTTTGTGTTGTGAAATACATTTCATGGCAACTCTGGTAGTAAACTTATAAGCTTATATCAGCAGATACTGTTGTAAACAATAATCGTATACTATCTTTAGTTCGAGTTTTTTGTTATTCAATTCATACAAAGTTGCACTTACGATAGTGTGTTTCCCCCCCCCCCAAATCACACATTCTTTTCTTTGGGAGGCTTGCGTACATTTTACTTACTTTTTAGCATTGACAGAAAATTTTGATTATGATTTTAAAAAAGTGTTTTAACTTTGAGATACCAAAATTTAACATTTAGCAGGTGTATGCACTACATAACTGGAATTGGAAGAAAAAAGAACAAAAAGAAAAATTTAATGTTAGACTGCCTGATGTTAAGGAAATCATAAATTATGTTGTCAAGAATAACATAGATGCAAAAAACATATCAAATTATTTCAACGACACAAATAACAAAAAAAAAGTGTAATATTTGGAACAATTGTTACTACATATCGCAACACTATATAAACCCGCTGGAATAAAAATTTCCAGTAAATATGTTTGATTTGATTTTAGCAAAACTTACTTTAAAATCATGATAATCACCAAGTAACATACTTTTACTTCACTTTGTTTGTATGTAACTTAATCTGGATTGTAGATACTCTGCAAGTACTTCAAAATCTCAAGTACTATTTTAGTACCAAAGTATTAGGTTTCGCAAGGTAAGTTAATATAAGCCTACAAAAGAATTTTGTTGCTCATAGTAGTTACAAGAATTAGGTTTAGCAAGGTAAATTAATATAAACCTACAAAAGAATTTTGTTGTTCATAGTAGTTACAAGTATTAGGTTTTGCAAGGTAAGTTAATATAAGCCTACAAAAGAATTTTGTTGTTCATAGTAGTTACAAGAATTAGGTTTCGCAAGGTAGATTAATATAAACCTATAAAAAAATTGTTGTTCATAGTAGTTATAAGTATTAGGTTTCGCAAGGTAAGTTAATATAAACCTATAAAAAATTGTTGTTCATAGTAGTTACAAGTATTAGGTTTCGCAAGGTAGATTAATATAAACCTATAAAAAAATTGTTGTTCATAGTAGTTATAAGTATTAGGTTTCGCAAGATAAGATAATATAAGCCTACAAAAGAATTTTGTTGTTCATAGTAGTTATAAGTATTAGGTTTTGCAAGGTAAGTTAATATAAACCTATAAAAAATTGTTGTTTATAGTAGTTACAAGTATTAGATTTCGCAAGGTAAGTTAATATAAGCCTACAAAAGAATTTTGTTGCTCACAGTAGTTACAAGTTATAAAAAATGTTGAAAGTTTGCTTTTGATTTTACCATAGAGTTATCTATTAATGCTTTAATTTTATCATGATGCACATATGACATAAAAACCAGGTAATAAAAGCTTTAAATGACCTTCATCAAGTCTTGAACGGCTGTCACAACCACTAAGCAAAACATGAAGTACCTATTAGCAAATAATATATACTTAAAACTGATCGTTTTCATGCTATACTTCTTCTTATGTATGCTAAATAAGGTTTCTTTTTAGGGAGTTTTTGAAAAGTATTTCTGATACATTATTAAGGACTATAATTGCTATAAGATTTGTGAATGTCTGTGAAGTCAAAGTTTCGATATTAACATGAAACTTTCTTCTAGATGAAGTGTTTTAACTCTGTGTGTTTTTGAGTTTCTTCTTTTGGTCCATTTCAATTTCCATATTGTGTATTCTGATCCAGATTAGGTATACTCTTTTCATTCATTAAATAATAGTCTGGCAGCATTCTGATCTTTTTTTTTCAGATTTCTGGGGGTAATTTAGAGATAACAAATGAAGACAGTGGAAATTCCTTTGGATGGTTATGAGTTTGTTCGTAGAAAATGACTAGGATTTAGAGGTGGATGATATAAGGACTGTCTGTATATTGGATTGTAGAAGTTACTATTTTAGAAACTTTAGTATTTTCTAGTTTTTGTTCAATGTTAAGAACTTCAGTTCAGGGCATAAAGGAGGAATGATGAAAAATTCAAGTTACAATGAGGTCCATGAAATATAAGCACTAAAGCATATTAATCTGATTTAGTGTTACCTCAGAATGAAGACAGGATTAAGTCATGGGACTATGCTAGCTTGTGGCAGGAGAAATTTGTGGCATTAATGTAACAACCCTTATTCATACTGATTCGATTGGTTTTTATAATGGAAACATACTTCAATCCATTTCACTTAATAAACGATAATCATTATTATGCAAAGACAAACCTCTTCATAACAATTCTACAATCAGAGAATCTCTAGATTCAGTATAAAACTCCATTACCTGCAGTTCAAATACATTCATGGTCTACCATTCTTTTACAGTCATCGTTCACAAATAAATGAGTGTGTATCACTACCAAAACACACAGCAAGGAACCAATTCACAATGTGGGAGAAATCAGAGTATGCTCTTTCTCTGGTATCTTAAGACATCAACACAGAAAAGTGCACACTACAGCTATCTATAGAAAACTAAACATGCCAATATATATATATACAAAATTCACATGTAAAAAATAAAATATACCAGTCAAGTACTTGCAACGTGAAATAGTTAAAACACAAGGAAAACGAACGTTTTTGTTTCAAACAACTCTAATTATTCTTCTTAGGCCTAAACCACAGCATAAGAAATAAATAAAGATATCATACAAGCACCAAACAGACACAAAGAAAGTAAACTGAGAATGGAAACCAACTATTGCAATAAAGATAATGACAAGCATCACTGACCATGTTTTATGTAAAATTAGCCATCATTCAAACATACAATTTGACATAGAATCTGGAAAGGGAAAAAAAAAAAGAAAGAAAGATTAAAGACAGAAAATGGGAAATTAGTAAGGACCAAGAAAAGGACCTTATCAACATGTGTTACTTATATAATTAAGATATTTAATTTTACTCGTGTGTCCTAATGTATACCAAGTGTTTCATCTCCCAAAGAAACATACAGAACAGAAGCAGGCCTCACAAAAACACCTGTCATCTTCCAGTAACTCCCAATAAGGGTTAAGTGTTTTTACCTACAGACGATATTAACATGTAGTAATCATTTCTTATCTTGCAGTATCCAAAATTTAGATAAAAATAGAGGGGGATATGTTATTTTGTACACATTCAGGAATACAATGTTCGTTATTTAAACTGTGTTTTATTTATTAATATATATATCCTCAAGTGATATTTTTTGGAATCTTTCAAGTTGAAGTAAAAAATTTGTTACAGTAAATGTACTCCCCCACCAAAAAACCATGGGCAATGACTAGATATATTGATGGAAAATATTTCTGTGTAGTAATCTCAATCATTCTAAGTAAAAACCAATAAAAGATGTTATTTGAGACCCTTAGTTAAATCGGACATTTTTGGGAACATCTTCTTTTACAAGTTTATATTAATGATAAAAGTACACATGAAAGCTCTGTACTAATATCCACCAGGTGGAAAACATTATCACCTCAACTTTGAGAGGGGAAGGATTGCATTTGTTAACTGTATCACTGGCACTTACAAAAAAAATTGTATCTAATTTTCAGCTGTAAAGAGCCACTACATATTCAGTTTAACTGCACATTTTGTTTATCACTTTGTTGCTGCTAAATAACCAAAAGATTCATAATATTCCATATATGACTTCAAATGTATTTATTATTTTATAATTATCATTAATGGTAAAAAAAAAAAAAAAGGTACAATAGTTTCTTTGGAGAAAAAAAAAACAGTAAAACTCGCACATCCATTCTGTAGCTACAATAGAATTACCAAACACCAAAGGAGCCTGTTATAGTTATCATAACATCTCTATCACAAACACTATACTTTTTCTTTGTACATCTGTTTTGTTGCTTTTTAACAAACCAATTTACAAAACACTTAGTACTACAAAGTTTTATGTTTATATTTGCATATGATTTAGAATGGTTTAAAACACTGGTACAAAGGTGAACACAATATTAAGTTCAACATTCACTATTTTTAACTGGTGGAAAGCATATTCTTTAAGTAAGCTAAGCAGCTTTGTTACATAAATGATGTAACTGTTAGCCCTTTAACTTGGTAATGTACCTGGAATTCTAGAATATGAACACCCGAAGTCCCAAATACTTGAGATTTGTGTCTTAATCTCTTGATGAATTATAATGATTTATGTTTCTTTAAGAAATGCACAGCATGGAGAATTTTACTCAAATTGACAATTCAAATATTTCTTATAGACTTACAACTCAAATAAATTACTGTTGAACATAAGCTCATGTTCAACACCAAGCTATTTGTATCTCCCTCTTTAAAAAAACTCGTAAATCTTCTTTCAAACTACTGATGAATTTATAAGTTTAGTACAAAGAATTTTCACCCCCCCAAAAGTCCAAATATGAAATTTACATGCAAAATGTACCTAATGACATTTGGATTACTCCAAAAGGAATGTGTAATGATAAAATCTGGTTACTGAATGCTACATCAAAAACCATGCAATTATCAAATAACATTTCAAAAGACCTATAATATAGGAACAAGAAATCATGCGATATTAACATTAGGAGCGATTTTGCAGAGAAATTAACTAAACCTATGTTAATTATATATATATCACAAGTGTTTCCAAACATTAAAACGTCTCTATAAAGCAGTCTGAGGTGAAACACCAAATTGAAAAAATTAAGAAGAGAAACAAAAGCTGCGGAATAATTTGAGACAGAACGTCTAGGACTACTAGTCTACCATTCCCAACATGCTCTGTAAGCGGGGAGAAATCAGCCGTGCAGAAGGTCATTATGCAAATAACATTCCAAAATTGGACACAGGGGCCCCAGCAGCTAGGAAAGAAGGGTGCGACAGGTGCCACCAATCCATAGGGCTGGCTACTTTGACAAACCTGTCTGGGGGCCGGTCTGTGATGCAAAGGCGGGGAGTTGGGTAGGAGGTGTAGTGGTGGGCAGCGAGACACCGGGCTGCGGCTGGCCTGTCAGACGAGATAGGATTCCCCGCTCTGACATCTGAAGCCTCTGTGCCACTGGTGGGATCCGAGCGAGAGTAGCAGGGAGACGGCTAACGTCAGACTTCATGTCGCTGAGAAGTTCCTCTAACTGGTTGAGCACTGAGGAAAAGAGAAAATGATGGTTGAAAATTAAACTTAAAAAGAATAATATATTTTCAATATCGAAGCATCTGGAATCATCAAAACTCACAGACAGTGTCATTTCAAATGAAAATAATTCAAGGTAGGGGATCATTTCTCAATACTACGATAAGTGAATGCAGGAAAACTGGTAAAATGTTCTGCACAACATCAACAATGAAAAAAAATACACACAGAAATAAAATTCAGGATCTTTTCATAATAATTGATAGTAAGTATATCACATTAGATAGTGATTACATATTTGTAAAAACTTTTAAAAAAACAAATGTGCAATAGTATTATTTAAACCATGAAACTAGCTTACTGATTTATAAATGAACCTCACAGAAAACTCCTATATATCTCCAACTGAACTATTCTGCATAACTTACAAATCTTTCAGCTGACTAAATAAAGAAATCAAGCTATATGGCCCTCTATGTTCAATGCTGTTTATTACAACCATTATGCAGCTTATTTTGAAATAATTTACAGACTTACAACTTATTAACCATTTATACTATGTTGTTAATGCTGTACCATTTGCTAAAATAACTCAATATAAAATAATTATTCATTGGATTTCGTTTCAAAATTCATCAATGTAACATCATACAAAGTCACACTATTAAGCTTTTAATACAACTCAAATATGGAAACCTATCTAGCATTATAGTTAAAATACCGTATTGCCCCTAATTAATGCTTCTGGGGATGTTGCAAACTGCAAAGGTACGTGTGTGTGTGTGTGTGTGTGTGTGTGTGTTAATTAAAGTATTTGTGCAGTTCCAGATTCTATTTTTCACATATGATTTGTCGATTTCAATGCTAACAAGTGAGTGTATGTGTGCATTTTCTTTCTTTTTTTTCAAATCAAAATTGCAGCAATAAAATTAAGGTTAAGCTTTATAAAAAATATTGGGGGGGGGGGAGAAGGATGTTAATTAGGGGCAGTACAGTATTTTGCTTCAGGTCTTA